AGACGACTGACAGGAAGTGGAGATGGCTGACAGTGAGTGGAGACGGCTGACAGTGAGTGGAGTCGGAGCAACTGACTGACAGGGATTGAAGGTGCGAGAGGGCAGAGAGGGCGATGGGCATGGAGCCATTGAGGTCCCTGTTCGACATGTCCCTGCCCATCACGCAGAATGAGAGGGGCGCAGAGGTGTGGACGGGCGGATAGGGGCGATGGGCAAGGAGTCATTGAGGTCCCTGTTCGACACGTCCCTTCCCACTACACAGGGGGGGATGAGCGAGAGAGGGAGCGAGGGGCTGGTGGTATGAACAGCGCGCCACGTCCCTGCCCACCGTGTGCAGGAGGGAGGGGGGCAGTGGTTGAGGGAGGGGATGGTGGTTGAGGGAGGGGATGGTGGTTGAGGGAGGGGATGGTGGTTGTGTTGAAAGGCTAGAAGAGATACATTGAATAATGAGCCAAGAGGCCCTTTAGTACAAACAATGAGCAAGAGAGAGATGAAAGGGAAGCTTACCCTATTGGCCAATAAGTTGGCCAATGGGTGAGCTTGCTTGTGACCCAAGCAACCACAAATGTGTGTTGGTTGGGATTGGTTGAGCTAGGGACCAATCCCAACCAACCACAAAATGTGGTTGGAGGGTACACTAAACAACCCCCCAATTTATAAGTGTACTACAGATCTAATTCTAGCCTATGTATGTTGTACAAATTATGAAATTACAACACAACCCCCCAACATGCATAAGGCTAGAAGGCTAGAATCAAGAGGCGGGAGGCGACTTAGGAGGAGTGAGGCCAAGAAGACGAAGTAGGAAAGAGTGAGCGACATGAGGAAGAGCTTTTGTGAAGATGTCGGCAAGGTTGGCCGCCGAGTCAACCTTGTCGAGCCGAAGGTGCCCCGCCTGAACAAGATCGCGAATGAAGAAATGACGGAGCTCAATGTGCTTGGAACGCCCGTGAAACACGGCATCTTTGGTGAGGTGAATGGTACTGGCATTGTCACACCAAATGGTGGGACAGCGCTGGGGGGCACCAAGTTCCTCAAGGAGGAAGGTGAGCCAGCGGGCCTCTTGCGCAGCCATGGTGGCGGCATACAACTCCGCCTCGCAGGAGGAGAGGGCGACAGCCGAGGAGCGGGTGGAGCGCCAGCTGATAAGGCCGCTGCCAAGAGAGAAGCCATAGCCCTGGGAGGAGCGACGATCTGGCTGGGAATCAGCCCAGGAGGAGTCACTGTAGCCGCTGAGGGTAGGTGGGGAGGGGCCGCCGAGGGTAAGGACATAGTCCTTGGTGCCACGAAGGTACCGGAGGACACGCTTGGCGGCCTGCCAGTGCTCTTCCGTATGCTTGCCTGCGCCAACAAAACGAGCGAGGACGCTGATGGGGTAGGCAAGGTCAGGGCGAGTGGAGACCACGGCGCACATGAGGGAGCCGATGAGCTCGGGATAAGGATGGGAGGAGGCTGAGGGGGAGGTGGGTGGAGAGAGGTGGTGCCCGACAGAAAGAGGAGTAGGTTGGGCGCCGCCGCGGACCATGTCAAACCGCTCCAAGACCTGCTGCAAGTAATGACCCTGGGAGAGAGAGATGGTGCGGGCGGAGCGATCGCGGGTGATTGTCATGCCCAGGTAATGCTGCAATTCGCCCAAGTCCTTGCACTTGAGACGGCTGCCCAACTCAGCCTTAACACGCTCCAACTCGCTGAGGTCGGCAGTGAGTAGAATCATGTCATCGACATAGACAAGGATGTAGAAGGGGGAGGGGGAGGCGCGGAGGAAGAGGCTGGCGTCAGAACGGGAGGTGCGGAATCCAAGTTCAGCAAGGGTGGCGGCAAGCTTAGCATGCCACTCCCTCGGGGCCTGTCGGAGCCCATACACAGGGCGACGCAGCTGCCAGACAGAGTCCGCAGGGAAGGGAAGGTGAAAACCGGCAGGACGCTCCATGTAGATAAGCTCGCGGAGGACGCCTTGGAGGAAGGCGTTAGAGACGTCCATCGAGTGGATCTCCATATTGAGGCGAGCGGCGAGGTCGAGCACGGCGCGAACAGTAGCGGGCTTGGCAGTGGGGGAGAAGGTATCGAAGAAGTCAAAACCATACCGCTGCGTGAACCCCTTGGCGCAGTAACGAGCCTTGTAGACGGGCGGCTCCCCTGGCAGTTGTTTGACGCGAAACACCCACTTCCCCTTCACCACGTTCGTAGAGGAGGGAGGGCGAGGCACATCAACAAAGGAGGAGTTGGCGACAAAGGCCTCCAGCTCCTTGATAATGGCGGCGAGCCAGAGTGGGGCGTCGGGGCAAGCCATGGCCTCCTCATACGTGGTAGGGATGAAAACGGAGGGAGCAGAGGAGAATGCGAAGACAGGTGTCCCAGAAAGGTCGAAGGTGATGGGTAGAAGGGAAGGGTCACAGAGGTGGAGGTCAAGGAACTCCTCATGGGAGTCCTCAGAGAGGGAGGTGTGGAAGGAGCGGATGACCGTTGGTGCCGCTGGTGCTGCTGCACGTGCCGCTGCTGGTGCCGCTGCTGGTGCCGCTGCTGGTGCCGCTGCTGGTGCCGCTGCTGGTCCTGCTGCTGGTGCCGCTGCTGGTCCTGCTGCTGGTGCCGCTGCTGGTGCCGCTGCTGGTGCCGCTGCTGGTGCCGCCGCTGGTCCTGCTGCTGGTACCGCTGCTGGTCCTGCTGCTGGTGCCGCTGCTGGTCCTGCTGCTGGTGCCGCTGCTGGTCGTGCTGCTGGTGCTGCTGCTGGCGCCGCTGCTGGAGAGGTGGCGGCGGGGGCTGCTGCAGGGGGAGGTTGATGCAGAACAGCCTGGAAGAAGTGGTGAAGGAGAGGGGAGAGTGGGGGGAGGGTAGAGGTAGAGAGGGTAACAGGGGGCGGTGCACCAAGGATACTGTCTTGTGACCTGGTATGGGGGTACCGGGTTAGTACAGTGCGGGGAGGGGGGGAAGGACGAGTCGGCAGCGAGGGAGGTGAAGGAGGGGCGGGAGGGGCACTAGGAGAGGAATGTGTGGGGGAGACGGGAGAGGACAGAGGTTCCGGGTCAAATATATCACCAGACAAGGGAGGGGCACCGTGGGACGAGGACGACGGTGGGGGAGGGGGAGGGAGGATGGGGGGAGGAGGAAGTAGAGGGGGAGGGGTGGTGTCAGACCAGACAAGGGGACGGGGAAGACGGGGGAGTGGGTCAGTGGATGGGGGAGAGGAGTAGTAAGGAGTGGACTCATCAAAGACCACATCCCTACTGCGGAATAGACGACCTGAGGGGGGATGGAGGAAAAGGTAGTCAGGTGAGGAGGAGTTATGACCAAGAAAGATGCAGGGAAGGGTACGAGGGGCAAGCTTTCCCATAGAACGGGAGCGGTCAGCGGGGTGAAGAAGGACATAAGCCTTTGAGCCCCAGACACGAAGAGATGAGACATCAGGCTTGTTGTTCGTCCACAGCTCAGTGGGGGTGGTGGATGGGAGAAGAGGGTGAGGGTAAAGGTTAGTAAGCAGGGCGGCATGAAGGAGGGCGTAGCCCCACAGAGAAGGAGGGCAGGAGGCGTGGACAAGGAGACACCGGGCAGTTTTGGTGATCTCTCGAACACGACTTTCAGCCACACCGTTCTGCTGTGGGGAGTGAGGGAGGGTGTAAGTCTGAAGAATGCCATGAGACTGGCAATAGTTGGCATAAGCTGGGAATACTGTGGTGATACCGGCTTGTTGAAGGGACCTTTGCGAGAGGAGATTAGCGCGAAGAGAGGGTATGTGGAGACCGGTGACAGTGCCTGAGGGGAAGAGTGGGCAGGGGAGAGTCGAGGTGTTATGGCAGGGGATAGAGAAGCTGCTATCGGCGCCAAGGAGGGAGGTAGGCGTTGGGAGGGGGCGCAAGGTGCCAGCATCGCGAAGAACTGTGTCAGTGGCGCCGCTGTCAAGGACAAAGTCGACAGTGGAGGGGAGGGAGGAGGAAGGGACAGAGGACTGGAACGCAGTTTCTTTAGTGCTAGAGGAGTATGTGGCAGGGGCAGCTGATGTGGCTTGATTGACCATACCAGCAATACCAACGGATGAGAGAGGTGGGACATTGCTTGAAGTGGCGGAGCTTGTGGAACAATGCGGAACTGAGTTCTGCTGGGAAGTTGGGGGAGGAGGAGGAAGAGGCAGCTGCGCTTGTGCGCTAAGGTGCTGCTGCAGGCGGTGAAGCAACTGCTGGAGCTGGAGGAGGAGGTGCCAGAGCTGCTGGTGCTGGTGCTGCTGCTGCTGCTGCTGCTGCTGCTGCTGCTGCTGCTGCTGCTGCTGCTGCTGCTGCTGCTGCTGCTGCTGCTGCTGCTGCTGGTGCTGCTGCTGCTGCTGCTGCCGGTGCTGCTGCTGCTGCTGCTGCTGCTGCTGCTGCTGCTGCCGCTGCCGCTGCCGCTGCCGCTGCTGCTGCTGCTGCTGCTGCTGCTGCTGCTGCTGCTGCTGCTGCTGCTGCTGCTGCTGCTGCTGCTGCTGCTGCTGCTGCTGCTGCTGCTGCTGCTGCTGCTGCTGCTGCTGCTGCTGCTGCTGCTGCTGCTGCTGCTGCTGCTGCTGCTGCTGCTGCTGCTGCTGCTGAGGAGGAGGAGGAGAGAAGGGTGGACTCGGGGCATGGTGGGCTTGGGTGGAGATTTTGCACTGAAGTCCCCGAGTCGGGCCATAGCGAGGCACATATTCACGAGGAGAGAAGGCTGCTGCTGCGCCGCAGCCTGCGCTCAAACCCCTGATACCACAATATCCTGCGAGTCTCCCTTGACCACCACCACAGCTACCACTATGCCCTCCTCCGCGATGGGCAAGGAGTCATTGAGGTCCCTGTTCGACACGTCCCTTCCCACTACACAGGGGGGGATGAGCGAGAGAGGGAGCGAGGGGCTGGTGGTATGAACAGCGCGCCACGTCCCTGCCCACCGTGTGCAGGAGGGAGGGGGGCAGTGGTTGAGGGAGGGGATGGTGGTTGAGGGAGGGGATGGTGGTTGAGGGAGGGGATGGTGGTTGAGGGAGTGGGGCAGTGGTTGAGGGAGTGGGGCAGTGGTTGAGGGAGTGGGGCAGTGGTTGAGGGAGTGGGGCAGTGGTTGAGGGAGTGGGGCAGTGGTTGAGGGAGTGGGGCAGTGGTTGAGGGAGGGGATGGTGGTTAAGATGAGGGAGGGAGGCTGGGCAGCTCGCAGTGAGCGATGGATGATGCACGTGTGGCGCGATGTGGGCACGAGAGCGGCATGCATGCGGCAGCGGCAGCACAATATGAGTCTGTCCATGGCAGGATTGTGCTCCGCTCTCTCTCATGCTCATCCACACATGCTCATCCACGCATGCTCATCCACCCATGCTCATCCACACATGCTCATCCACCCATGCTCATCCACACATGCTCATCCACGCATGCTCATCCACCCATGCTCATCCACACATGCTCATCCACACATGCTCATCCACGCATGCTCATCCACACATGCTCATCCACACATGCTCATCCACACATGCTCATCCACACATGCTCATCCACACATGCTCATCCACGCATGCTCATCCACACATGCTCATCCACGCATGCTCATCCACACATGCTCATCCACACATGCTCATCCACGCATGCTCATCCACACATGCTCATCCACACATGCTCATCCACGCATGCTCATCCACGCATGCTCATCCACACATGCTCATCCACCCATGCTCATCCACACATGCTCATCCGCACATGCTCATCCACACATGATCATCCACCCATGCCCATCTTGACTCCTGCTACTCCCTTCCTCTGCAACCCCCTCGCACTCACAGCGCCGTCACAATGCAACCCGCTCCCGAGCTTGTGCTACTACCCTCCACCACAAACCCCATCTGTCGCACTCACAGTGCCCACCATACATCCCCTGCGCTCCCCCACTCACAGCGCCGTCACCATGCCGTTGTCGTCGCATGTCATACCCAAGGAGCACCACTTCGTGGTGGGAGACATTACATGGCAGCGGTTTCCTTAGCAAAAATTAAGTTCAGAGATTACAGGCGTGAAAAAATATTTTTAATTTTTGCTAAGGAAACCGCTGCCACGTAATGTCTCCCACCACGAAGTGGTGCTCCTTGACACTCACATGGACGTCACCATGCCGTTGCCATCGCATGTGATGCCCTGCGCCTGCGCGCACTCCGCGCCCCGCGCCCACCCCATCGCACTCATTCCCCACTCCGCCGCACACTCCTTCAGCGCCGCCGCTGCGCACCACAGTCAGGGAGAGGGCAGTGAGGGAGATACGCGCGGGCAGTGAGGGAGATACGCGCGGGCAGTGAGGGAGATACGCGCGGGCAGTGAGGGAGATACGCGCGGGCAGTGAGGGAGATACGCGCGGGCAGTGAGGGAGATACGCGCGGGCAGTGAGGACGGCGAGGTGCACAGGACAGCGGGAATTCGGGAGTTGAGAGGAGCGAGGGGGAGGGGGAGGGGGAGGGTGAGGGGGGAGGAGAGGAAGAGGGGATGGACGTCAATACGGCGGCAAGAGTTCAGTTTTGCGCGAGAACAGCACAAGCTAGGGAAGGCCAGCGGTTACGGTCGCGAGAGTAATGAAGGTCGCGCGAGCCGAGCGGAATAGTGGAGGACTTTGCGTGTCTTTGCGTGACTTGTCGTGACTTGAAAGCTTCGTCCTGCGAACATAACGCATGCACCTTGGGAGTCGGCGAGAGTCACGGGCTGCACGACACGCGGCAGGAGAGTGGCGGCGACCACCGCTAGCCACGGAAGGGCGGCTGCAACGATCCGCAATCGCGAGCTACTAGCCCGCCTCGCACAGCCCATCATGGGCGTTAGGACGGCGTGTGGGTGTTGGACCTCCACGCGTACGCGATGGTGTTGTACCTCAGCTCTACTCGAATTCATACTGCAATAATCAAGTTGACTTTTGAGAGGACTAAAAAATTTACTGCCATAATCACCATCTCGTTCGTCGCGTGCTTGTAACATGATGTGTAGGAAAGCATGATTTGCTCCATTGCCCTATCCCTTGCGATCACGCGCCGTTCTCTCCTATTTCCTCTTTCTGTGGGACGGTAACTGGATCAGAACGTAGCTGCTGCTGGCGCATGCTTTCTGGCGGGCGGCGCTGCAGATAGGGCGTACGCGCTGGTGCGCGCTCGTCCATGCTGCGGCGCGCGCGGGAGCGTGCTGTTGTGTGCGCGGCGCGGGCTGCAGTGCGAGCTGCTGTTAGGCGCCCTGCTGTGGCGCGCGCTGCTGCTAGGCGCGCTGCTGCAGCTGTGCGCGCTGCGGCGTGCGCTGCTACGGTGCGCTCTGCAGGGGCGCGCAATGCTGGCGAGCGCGACGACGGGGTGCGTACGGGGCGACGGGGTGCAAGCGTTGGGATGCGGGGCGCGTACGGGCTGCGGGCTGCGTCGGAGCGCGGGCTGCAGACGGGCTACGGGGCGCGGGCGTCGGGACGCGAGCTACGGGGCGCGAGTGGCTGGTTGGCTGGACAGCAGTCCAAAAGACGTGGCTAAGACCAAAACTAAACAAAATACAAGCTCAAAGTTTCACTAGTGAGGAAACGGGGGTACAATACGGTTTGAGTGTCACTATATACTAGGGTTTTTATACGTGCCGTCATAAAACACTTCGGAGTTATCACGAGCAGTCACGGCGCTATCACGAACGGTCATATGTTCCGCCAAATCTATCACGAATCATCACACGGGTATCACCAGTCGTCACTCACATTCACTAAATTCTATCACGAGTAGTCACTCTCGATACTTTGCTATAACAAATGAACTTTGTCATAATTTCGTTGACCCACCCTCAAACACTATACAGATTTATGTCAAACTGAGGAATTGATAATGCATTCATGTTGGTTGGGGTACAAGTAGCTAACCCTAACTTTTGTACTCCCTAAGACAAACCTCACTATAGGCTACCACATTTGACACACCCCCATAGCCTAGGTGAGGGGTGTCTAGCAGAATCAAAAGAGTACGGTCACAAGACCAGTCCAAGAAACAAAGCTCAAAGTGGATCACAACGTCACCACACTCTCTGAGCACAAGCACCAGTGGCCACAAGGCCAGTCCAAGATATAACAAAGATATATAGAAAGCGTACAAGCAAAGTAAACAGTGCACTCAAGTCTAAGCAAGACGAGAACCAGTGTCAACAAGGCCTAACTGCACACAGCACCTCTGGTGGTCACAAGGCGCAAGCGCCTTGGTGAAGATGTCTGCAGTGTTGGCCTCGGACTCCACAAACTCGAAGCGAGCCTGTCCACGTCTCTGCAGCTCTCGCAGAAGAAAGTACCTGACGTGAATGTGCTTCACTCTGCTCTCCAGTCGCGGCTCTCGACAAAGGAGAATCGACGCCTTGTTGTCAGTGAACAAGGTCGGTGCAAAGCTCGGCCGCTCACCAAGGTCGGCGAGCAAGAAGGTCAACCAACGCAGCTCCTGTGCCGCCATGGCACCAGCGTAGATCTCAGCCTCAGCTGTAGAGGTCGAGACCGAAGAGGAGCGCGTGGACCGCCAGGAAACAGCTCCAGAACCCAGGCTGAAACAGTACCCCTGAGTAGACCTGTGAGTCTCAGTGTCGTCAGCGTAAGAAGAGTCACAGTGACCAGTAAGTACGATAGACTGCTGCCCTCCAAGAACTAGCCCCACGCCTGATGTCGTCGCTAGGTACTTCGCCACCCTCACAGCTGCTGTCCAGTGAACAGGGCGGTGTCTCCCTGGCGCAACAAAGCGCGCCAGGACACTGAGAGGGAAGGCGAGGTCCGGGCGAGTACAAGTCATCAGGTACATGAGGCAACCCACAAGCTCTGCGTAGGGACCACTAGGCTCAAACGGCTTGTCAGGAAAGGGTCCAGTGAGTCTGTGGTCAACAGCAAGAGGTGTGCGCTGTACTGTGGAGTGCTGAAGGACCTGCTGCACCATGTGTGACTGTGAAAGTGTAATGGTGCGAGCAGCTCTGTCTCTGGTGATCTGCAGGCCAAGGTAGTGGCGCAGCTCACCAAGGTCAGTGCAGGTGTGTCTCTTCTGCAGTTCGGACTTCACGTGTGCCAAAGCAACCCTGTCAGCAGTGGCGAAAACGAGGTCGTCAACGTAGACCAGAACAAAGAAAGGTGTGGAGCCACGACGAACGAACAGCGACGGGTCAGCAGAAGAAGGCTGGAACCCAAGGTCAGAGAGGGTAGAACGCAGAGTGTCGTGCCACTCACGAGGGGCCTGGCGAAGACCGTAAACAGGTCGCCTCAGCCTCCACTGGGTCCCAGGAGGGAAGGTGCCAGTGAAGGCAGAGGGACGACGCAGCCAGACCTCCTCGTGTAGGCTGCCCTGAAGGAAAGCAGTGGAGAAGTCGAGAGAGTGTAACTCGTAGTCTCTCTGTGCTGCTACGTGCAGTAACACCCGAAGAGTAGTCATCTTCGGGGTGGGGGAGAAGGTCTGAAAGAAGTCAACTCCCTCTCGCTGACTGAAACCTCTAGCCACGTAGCGCGCCTTGAAGACCGGGGGAGATCCCGGTGGCCGCTTCACCCTGTAGATCCACATGCCGTCGACTACGTTCGCCCCAGGGGGGGGAACCTCATCGACGTAGGTGCTTGTGGATCTGTAGGAGGCCATCTCTGCGTCCATGGCAGCTCTCCACTGAGAGGCCCAAGGCCCTGACACTGCCTCAGCGTAAGTGCGAGGAGTTGGTATGTCAAGGGCGTCGGGGTCACCCTCAGGGGCGAGGAGCATGGCACAGAGATGAGGGGAAGCGGCTGCCAGGAACTCTAGCTCAAACTGCCAGGAACTCTAGCTCAAACTGCCTGTCCTCTAGGGCGTCACAGCCAAGGGCAGACACACCCCCGACGGCCAGAGGACTGGAAGGAGGAGCAGCCACAAGACCGGTGGCGAAGTCAAGGCGGCGGGTAGAGGCAAAGTCAGTGACTGCGGCAGTAAGAGCGGACACAGAGGACAGAGAGGCACGAGGGTGAGTAACAAGAGAGGCGAGAACACGAGAGAGAACAGGACGGTACGTGCGGTAGTAGTCAGTGACAGGAGTAGGAAGCGACGCAGTGAGGGCAGACTCAGGAGGAGACGGAAGCACAGACGGAGACGGTCGAGGTGGACGAGAACAAAGTAAGGCAGTACGAAGGTCAGTGAAGGGAACAGGAGACGAGGGACGAGCACGAGGGGAGCGACGAGAGGCCCAAGTCTGAGAAGGAGGAGGGGACAACGAAGACTGAGAACGAGGGAAAACAGCGGGAGAGGGGTCAGGAGGAGGAAGCGGAGGACCAGAGAT